AAAGTCTGAGGAAAAAGTGTTGGCTAAAAGCAAAGACACTTCAGGGCTGTCCCAGGCAGAACGTTGATCGTTTAGAAAGCTCCACAAACGGTGCAAGAGGGCTGACATTTTGAAGGAAGTAAATTGATGCTATGAAATTATTGAATAAAAATTGTCTCAGGTTTCTTGTGACCTAGACCCTGCCTCCCCTCCCCCCAGAATCACCATCCATTCAGGGGAAGATATTTTGAATGTAAATTACAGACATTTCATGAGTGTTTCTTGACAGTTACCTCCCCAAACACTCTCTGTGTTATGCTGTTTAATCTCACAGCTACTTGTGTGTTGGGAATTGGCATGACCACTTTCATATGCTAATATCGGTGCATAATAAACGCTTTAGGTAATTAGCCCAGGTACTCACCAGGTGAAGCCCCCCCAGCACCCAGCAGCGGTTTTGGTCTGTATCTGTGTTCCATGTGCATGTGACATGCATGTAAGGGAAGCGCAGCCTCCGTAGAGCCGGCCATGACCGGCAGCAGCAACATGAGTCTGTTCTCGCCTGTTTTCAGTGTTGGTGGCACAAAATGATGCTTTCAGGGCATTGAAATTGGCTGATGAGCCCCTAGTCGCACCCAGTGTCAAACATACCTTTAGCTGATGACACACTCTCTCACCTTCTGACCCACATCCTAGTGCCACCAAGTACTTACGTTTTTGCTATTTCATGTCTTTTTCATAAAACGTTTTCTGTCCCCTCTATTTTCCCTCCCAGTCTGTCTAAGCTGACAGATTTTATAAGTCCATCTAATCATGACCATGATTTTGGTCAGTCCCCGGGAAGGAGGACCTGAGGAGAGTTAAAGTCTAAGCTGAAAACGTGGCTCCTTCCAGGGGTGGCCCAGGCCTGCCATATAAAGGGGGCCCCGGGACTCCCGCTGACCTCGGCAACCCCCACTGACTTACGGTCACTTTACCTGCTCATCAACCCAGGGCCACCTCTGCCAGAACCTGAGAAGGTTTTCCACGGAGGACACACATGGTAACACTGTGTGATTTCAGAACAGGGAAGTAATTCTTCACAGTAAGGGGGTGGGGAAGGGGAGGCTGCTAGTAATTCAATCCACTTGAAAGATAACAGAAACTCAGGGGAATAAGAAAATAAGTGAACATACCATATCAAATAGGTAAAACACACGTGGAACACTTAGTGTAGTTCCACACCGTGGGAATAAGGGAGATGCAGTGAAGTGACTGGAGAGGTCGAGGATATGAGTGTATGGGGAGGGACAGGTGTGTCGTGTTTGGCCACGAGTAGTAATCGGAGAAGATAAAGGAACGGAGACATGGGCTAACGTGATGTTTGTCAGTGTTACTGGTTTCCAGGGTTCCCTTTCTTTTCCTTCAAAAATTATAAACTTTTAAAAATAGCATTTATTTTTGTTTTTTACTAGATTGCAAGCTCTATGTGGTCAGGGACCATGTCTGTTATTTATATTTCTGTTCCTAGCTCTTGTGAAATTTATATTTGTTGAATGAATGAATAAATGTCAATAAGTGAATAAAATATAGGTGGCATATATAATGTGGACATGGGGTTTATTATTTAAGAATATAAAATTTAATGGGAGTTTACCACAGAATGAATGGCATCTGAGCTAAGGCCAGGCTAAAAGCCGAGAGGTGCTTTGTGGAGGGGCGGCAGGGAGAACTGCTCTTGCTCTTAAATTCTGTCAGTATTACCTGCTGAGGATTATAGAGACGAGCCCATTGGAGAACATTGCTTTGGAGGGCAGATGTGACAGTCACTGCTGTCCTGCTTTGTTGGACATGGAAAGTCTGTACTTTCCTAATTCTCAGTCCATGTGGCTGTTCGGGAGCTGTGACCTGTGCTGATGATCTCATGGTCCCCAGGAGGCCAAAACTGATGTATTTTCTCTACTGGGAGGAGCAGCAGGACCCACCGAGAACAGTGTCGCTGCCCTGGTGTGACTCACTAGAGCTGGTCCCCACAGTCACCTTCAATAGGTGCGAGGAAAAAGAAGTCCAGGCTTATCACCTTTATTTTAAAAATATTGTGAACAGTGGCCTGTGTAATATAGCAATTTAAGACTTTAAAGGGCTTCATTTTTATCAGTTAGTATCAACAGAATAACTCCCAGAGAGTGATCCCTGTTAACCCCTGAGACTGACTCACGCGCTTGCTCGGGCTGATGAAGTGGCCCAGGTCGGATGGTCCCCCCGTCTGGGGGTCCAGGGACGGCACAGGGAGGCTGTCCGCGGGGAGGCCTGGTGGTGCTCTCACATCTCACTGTCTTTCCTGTCTGTTACTCCCCCAGTGGCGCCCACGGTGACCGTCTCCCCAGCCAAGAGAGAGGCTCTCAACCACCACAACCTGCTGGTGTGCTCGGTGACGGACTTCTATCCAAGCCAGGTCAAAGTTCGGTGGTTCCGGAACGACCAGGAGGAGACAGGCGATGCCGTGTCCGCCACCCCCCTTATTAGGAACGGGGACTGGACCTACCAGATCCTGGTGATGCTGGAAATGACCCCCCAGCGAGGAGACGTCTACACCTGCCACGTGGAGCACCCCAGCCTCCAGAGCCCCGTAACAGTGCAGTGGCGTAAGGGGCAGTTTGTTTCCTTCACCGCAGGCCCCACAGAGAGCAAACAGCATCCCCTGGCCACCCCATCTCATCCCTATTCCCGCTGCCACCACTGAGCTGGACATCACAGGGTGCTAGAGCCCTCTTGTGCCATGGCAGGG